GGCGGGGGCGGGGGAAGAATTCAGGGAGTCAATGGATTTGGTTTTAGACGAATCGACCTGCGAAGTGATATCCAGAATTCTAAGCGGATGGAATTAAAAAGAGAAGCAGGGTTGTCTAGAGAAACAAATCTGGGGACGTACATGTATGAGAGCATTGTGTCAAGACGTATTTATATACCGAGAAGGCGCCCCAGTCCAGTCCAACTGTAAGTGCCTAAGTCCAATGCCAGCCCACCAGTCCTTCTTCAGACTCATGTGGCAGCAGGCTGGTGATGCAGAGAGGCAACCTGGGAAGGTGACAGGCTTGTGGGTGCAGCGTCCTGTGGATCCAAGGTTGGTGGGAACATGGGAGGGTGCTCGCCATTCTCACCCACACGGGGCTGCCCCTCAAAGCAGGCAAAGTGCTAGCAAGCAGGAGGGGGGTGAGGGGGAGGTACCCAGCTTCTCCCTCCCAAGGCCACACTCCCCAGGAAGCATTATCTAGCTACCACTTGGTTGACCGGTTGATCTTTACCCCCAGCCAGGAGTGTCTCAGAACTCAAACATCAGGCCATTGAATCGATAATGACTCATAGTAGCCCTCTAGGGCAGGGTAGGAGTGCCCCTGTGGGTTTCTGAGATGCTACCTCTCTATGGGAGTAGCAAGCCTCTCTTTCCCCTGAAGAGTGGCCGGTGGTTTCAAACTGCTAACCTTGCAAGTTAGCATCCCAGGCCATTGCCACCACAACAGACACTCGTAGGAGTGTTCCAGTTGGCATATGATCTGACGCTCACGGGCCAGGGCCACGAATTGGGGGAGTGCTTGCGCAGGGTTAAAACGAATGGGTCTTGAATCAGGGCAAAGCACGTGGGCTGGGGAAAGGCTGCTGATCTGGGGGCGGAGGAAGACTAGCAAGGGCATTGGAAGAAAAGGAAAACCCCTCACAAGTGTAGAAGAAGAGCTCCAAGGAGGAAGGGCGGAGAGGCTTCAATGCCACAAAGGTGGAGGAAGGAAAGGAGGTGGATTGGCCCGGGGGCAGGTCAGACGGGACCCCGGAAAGACGAGCATCCAGTTGGGATGGGAGCAGGAGCTCAGAAAGAATGAGCAGAAAGGGAATGGAAGCAACAAGCATGGATTATTTATTTGGAAGAAAAATGTTTAACCTCCAGAAAGGAAGAGGGAGGGAAACAAGGGAAAGAGTAGCATCGCAGAAGCCGAGAAAGGAAATACAGGCGGGGTGGGGGGTGGGGTGGGTGGGGCGGGTGAGAAAAAGCAGAGAGGGAACACAGGGTCCGGATGTGAATAGAACGGGCTTTCAAGTCAAGCTTGGCGTCTGCTCCTACCTTTACCACCCGTTCGACACTCCCCAAGACTCAATGTTCTCGCCTGGAAATTGGAGGTAGAGGCACTCAGGTAATGATGATCTGCACTTAAGGTTATGCAGTTTGCTTTTTTTTTTTTTTAATATTGAGCCAAAGGCAAAGACTCTGTCTCTCACGTCCTTCTGACTCGTTGCCAGGAAAAAACAGTCTCTGCAGAAGGACATCATGCTGGCTACAATAGAGGGGCAGCACCAAGAGAGGAAGGCTCCCGGGCAAGGCAGGTTAGCACAGTGGCTGCAACAATGGGCCCCGACATGGGAGCCCTTGTGAGGACAGGGCAGAACCAGGCGGGTCCCGTCGTTGTGCACAGGATCGCTGTATGTTGACCTTCGCCAGCACCTAGCAATGTCTTATGTGCAGTGTCACGGTGCATACTTTGCTCCGTTATCATTTCTCCGAGATTCCGAGACCCAAAGACAAAGATCAGATTTATGAAGATGCGGAGCTCCTCCTGTGGGTAGCTCGGGGTGGGGGGTGGGGGGCACATGCAGCCAAACCGAGACTCCTGCCCTCCCCTCAAGCCCCCTGTCCTCGGACCTCTGATCTACCTTGGGACTACTGCCTCACCTGCCCACCGGGGTCGCGCTTGACCCTGCAGAAGAGCAACCCAGACACGTTGAAAATGATGTTTTGATCCTGGAAATAGTGAGAGAGAAAACCAGAGAGACATGTTCTGAACACGTTCAAGATGTGGCCAAACGCTACAAGGATTTGGGATCCTCGTGGTAGTCAAACGCCGGAAAGAACATCATATCCGGAAAGCTTGCCCATTGGCTTACTGTACCGATCCCGCCTTTTACAAAGAGTGCAGCATGGACCATCTGAAAGGAAGGGAAGAATTCAGAAAGACTGGAATTCCTATCAAGCAAAGGCTACAGACGCTGCCTACAAGTGCGTAGGCAAATATTTAAATGACATTCAGGACTCCCAATATTTATAGAAGGCACAGTCAACAGAATGAATCCAGCCAAGAGAAAGAAATGGCTTCTGCTTTTATCCTAAATTATGGGTGTGTTCATTTTTATCTCAAATAAAAATGTCTTTCTTTTGAAAACAGCAAAACGAAACAAAAAGATACTGATAATAAAAGGCAATAATGATGAAAACTTTCAAAATAAAAGCGGTATCTACTAAGGCCGGAACCCATTTATGGCGGCAGCCTCATCCATGGTAAACTAGGGCGCTCTGTATCCATCCGTGGGGCTATTGGGTTGAGTAAGTGATGAGGCCGCATGCTCCAGCGCTTCAGACAAGCACTCCATCCACCCGCTCCGAGGCAAGAGTTGACACTACTTTCATGGTTTGGGGGTCCTCTTGTAAAAAAAACAATAGATGCTACACGAGTTAAAAACAATTCTTAGAGGTTTATGCCTTTTGTACACGCTCCAACTTCTACTGTCGACTCTTTTTGTCACTCTTGTCATCTGCCAGCCAGAACTCCTTAGTCTGACACTTGGCTACACATAGCCCCTCCTGGACCTCCTATTTCTCAGATCTTTCCTCCTCTGCCACTGAATCCTGGTGCCCACCAAGACACCCTTCTATGTCTCCACCCTATCCTTGAGTCAAATGAAATCCACAGCCAAGGATTTCATTTCAAATATGGTCGATAGCCCAGACCTCTCGCTCCCCTGGTGTTCTTCCAATGTAATGCTGACATCACCACTTGAATGTTTCAAAGTCTTCACACGCAGTTTCCAGGGTCTAAGCGATGTCCCTACGTCTCAGCCTTGGTCCTCTCCCTTGGAGTTCTTTGGCTGACAGTGGCATCATTGCCCCACCAGATGCACAATCTGGAGCCATAGTTAACCTTTCCTTTATCAATGAATTTAAACCACAGCCTAGCCCCATCAGTTCAACCTCCAAATATCTCTTGAACCTGTCCACCAGCCTCCGTTTCTACATCCATCCCCTGAGACTACATTTTCTCTCCCACCTGCTCTCCGTTCACCCAGTCCCACACTGGCCACCACCCACCCCATTCTTGCCCTGGCAGCTGGGGTGATTCAGACTTTCAAAATGCAAGGAAGGCTTTAGGGTCCTTTGCTAGCTTCTTCTTAAAGAAACCACGCAAAGGAAACAACAATCAGTGAGAAAAACTGCAATGATTTTGTGACCTTCAGAATTTCCTAACATGTTGCTGCATAGGACAGAGGGACCCTGCTCCTTTGGGTTTCCAAGGCTGGAAGTGTGTATGACAGCAGACAGCCTCATCTTCCTCCCCTAGAGGTGAGAGATGGATTTGAACCACCAACCGTTGGCTTTAGCAGTCCTGTGCCACCAGGGTCCCTTAGGGAAATGGAAAAAAAAAAGAATACTAATATTTTAGCGGTCTGTAACTTAAAACACTAGAAATGCTGCCAAATGTAAAGTGATTTCCTTCCTTACTAAGATGATTGGAGCAGTTCTCTGCTTTGGGCCACTTACAATACTGAATGAGCATCTTTTCAACACCTTGGTGAATTATCACACTGCCGGCTCAGTTTGGATCCCTGTCCAACATTTATTCCTTTGTGCTTGTTTCCATGCTGTGAAATAACCCCAAGAATCCTTGTAAAATGATTTTCTTGTTTGGTTTGGTTAGTTGTCCCCCCACCCCCACCCCATCCCTGCCCCAGCATCACTTGTTCTGGGGCTTCTTCCATCATTTTTGTCACAAGCACTTTTCCTCATTTATGCTTTTTGACATTCATTTTGGGTCCCACCAATAGACAAAGCCTCAAGCATCCTGGATGTCACAAAGCATGTACAGGGAATGATGTGAAATTCCACTCTGGAAACTGGGAACCTAAAAACCAAATCCAACCTCCTCAACCACACCTCTGATTAGATTAAGATCTCACATAGAGAGGGAGTGGGCAGCAGGCAAACCCGGAGTCTAATAGCACAGCAGGACCAGCAGACCAGACTGAAAAGCGACTGCTCTGCCCACGAGGGTGACCGCTGTTGGCTCGGAGACACCTGAGCCTGTTACTGGTAGCACCCTATTTACCCCGTCCTTCCTTCCCTCCTTCTGCACTTTCCCTTTCTCTACCCTCCTCTTGTGTTCTCTCGCTCATTCTTTCCCCACTACCTCTGCCATCAGCCCTCATCGACATTGCTTACGCTAGCCGGTGGTGGAAGCGATTCAAGATCTCCACTAAGGCCCATAGAGAGACTGCCCTGGGTGAGTCCCATTGAATCCAACAGACAGCCTAACGAGGAGGTTCTGAGAACACTTGAATAATAATCAATAAAGGTCTTCTTGCCACAGGCTTACTATTTAGAGGAAGCCGTTTTGAGCAAGGAAACGGGGTTTGGGGGATTGCTTTTATGATTTTTCTTTTCCAATTGACTTGGCTCTCAAGGGAAGACGATCGCCTAACTAAAACCTTCTGGTGAAGTAGTGAAATGATTCCACTCCTCGAGTGAGCTGCGTCTTCTTGTATCTTGGTGAGAAACTTGGCTCTACCGGCAATGCACGTCACTCTATCCACTCAAGGGCAGCAAGATAACGTTCTATCAGACCAAGTGTCTAAACGAACCTGAGACTCTTACCAAGGTCAGAAATGCGATACTTAAAGCCAAAAGATCTCCCCTGGGCCTGTTTGTTTTGACTTGTTTATCACCAATTTGCCTTGTCTACGTGTCCAATCCCGGTATAAAACAAGGCGCGGAGTTCTACAGCTTGGCATCCCCCAAAGCCGGCAGGGAGGCATAGACGAAGCTGACTGATCGTGGACGCTCGCATTTTTCTGTCCGCTTGATTCCCACAGGCCTCTGACCGGCTTCCCCCAAGGGCAAAGACGGTGAGAGATGATTTTGGAAATGCTGAACCCAGCGCATTACAATATCACCAGCATGGTGACTGAGGTGGTGTCTGCAGCCACCATGCCAATCCTGCTGCTCACTGGCCTCCTGCTCCTGATGTGGAATTTTGAGGGCACATCCTCCATCCCAGGTAAGTAGGTCACTGATTCATGTGCCGAGGAGATTGGGTGGGGGGGATGGGGGGGGCTTTGATCAGGAGAGGTGACAAAGATTGGGCACAAAAGGCAGAGAGGCAGACTAGGGACATCTGTGAGGAAAGACCCTGTCCTGTCGGCCAAGGAGGGCATTTAGGTGAGCAGGACTTTCAGACCGGTTACCTGTACGTTCTGAAGGAAACCGTGAAAAAGATGTATCTCACTTGGCTAATGACTCCTGGTCTGCATTTTGCTGGAGTAAAGCAAGTTGGCATGAGCGGCCTTTGAGACAAGGTGGAGATGGGAGGGAGATGGTAATGTTTAATTTCAGCGTTTCTCTCCACCCCCCAATTCTCTTTTAATTTTTATTGTAATTAATTTCACCTTTGCTCTGAAGGTGGAAATGTCTTTGGAATGGCTTTCTCTACTCCTCTTCTCCCCTCGATTCCGTGCATCCTTGCCTGTCCTTGCCTCGTAATAACCATTTTCTTCTTGTATTCCTGAGGGGGGTTAAGGCTATTTGGGACCTGGGAAGCGAGAGACAATGGGGGCCACTACTGATCCCGTCAAACATCAAGGCCTGATAGGCTTCAACAAGGCACGCAGGCCAACCCAGAGTACCGCATGCTGTACTTCCCCACTCTGCACACAGTTTCACAGAACACCTTACTGCTTCCAACATGAATAGGGGATTATGTCTCGGTGCGTGTCCTTTTTAAATTTTAGTGTCCCAAATCCCATCACATTACTGATGTGGCTTTATTTCAGGAGCACAGTCATTGCACAATTTTCAGCATGATTGTTCTCACCAGACTGTGCTAGATGTTGGGGTGTGGGGTGCGATTGGCAGAAAATCCCCTGTGCCTGGGTTTTACAAAATATTTCCCGTCTCCCTATCTGGTTCAACTTGGTATTTGAGGTGACCTTTAAGACTCAATTGAGAGGGGGGGTAAAATGAGGAGCTGATGCCAGGGGCTTAAGTGGAGAGCAAATGTTTTGAGGATGATGAGGGCAATGAATGTACACATGTGCTTTACATAGTTGATGTGTGGATGGATTGTGATAAGAGTTGTATGAGCCCCTAATAAAATGATTTTAAGAAACTCAATTGAATGTAGAACATTTAGTTAGCTTTGTTCTCAGTTACACCCCATCCCCACCCCCACCCCCCAGGAACCACTTGGGTGGATTTCTAGCCTGCATCTCCAAATAGTGCCCTCTAATTTTTCCCCTGGTTTTAAACATTTTATCATTCTGTCTTACTGCTCTGCTCGGTAATTTGCCAAGCTGTAAACACCCAGCAAAATAGTTTGTCATTGAGAGTATTTCAGTTGATTTGAGACTGGCACATTTGATAACACTTTAAGGAAATATATGAGGGAGCTTCCAAGGAGTCCATGGGGAAATCCCATTATCCATTTTCCCAGGAACTTCTTGAAGCCGCCTCGCCATGTATTCACCCAGATCCGCTTGTGTGATGTAAAGTCAGTCGTCCACTTTGTAATACACTCTTATCAGAGAAACCATAAGACTGACAACCCTTTGATGACATTTTGGTTGTGTGGGTCTTAACAAACAGCTTCTCTTGAAAGAAGAGTGAGCGAGCTCTGGTGGAGGAGTGGTTACGAGTTGGGCTGCTAACTGCAAGGTCAGCAGTTTGAAACCACTCACCCCTCTGAGGGAGAAAGATGAAGCTTTCCACTCCCATAAAGGGTTGCAGTCTCAGAAACCCCCGGGGGCAGTGGAACCCTGTCCTGTAGGGTCGCCGTGAGTTGGGATCAAATGGATGGTTGTGAGTTTGTGGTTTTTTTTAGTTTGGGTGAAAGCAAAGAAATAAATAAGACCCACAGTCTCGTGGCCTCCAGCACATTAACTCGGCTGCTGCAGAGTTTTAAAACACCTAACATCATTTACAGAAGTTGGGACTATGCCTCCACTTTACAGCAAACGTTTGGATGGTCTGGATCAGGGGTCCTCAAACTGCGGCCCGCTGAGGACATTTATCCAGCCCGCCGGGTGTTTCTGCCCTGCTTGTAGTTGTTTTTTTTTAATTCAAAATAAGATATGTGCAGTGCGCATAGGTAGTTGTTCATAGTTTTTTTTTGAAACTATAATCCAGCCCTCCAACGGTCTGAGGGACAGTGAACTGGTCCCCCGTTTAAAACGTTTGAGGACCTCTGGTTTAGATGGTCTGGCTCATAGTCCGTGGGGGGAGAGCGCCGGCTCACAGCCTGGTGCATGTGCTGGCTAGGCTGCAGTCTCACTGACAGAATGGGGTCCGAGGAGAAAGATTTAGAGGATTCCCTTCACGATAAAACTCCGAAAGGCGTGCCCAAGCCTTTTTAGTCTCACTTTTTATCACTGCCAGTAAAGTCAAGCCACCAGGTTTGCCTCGGCTGTAAAGGCAGCATCATGCTCCCAGCGGCTCTCTGGGTTCATGTTCTTTGTCGTTCCGCCAGCATCTACTTAAGCAAGGGTGGGAGTATTAGGCCTCTGCTCCCAGAAAAGGGAGGGCAATGAGCAGCTCTCCTCCCGGAAAGATTTACAGCCTTGGAAACCCACAGGGACGGGTCCACTCTGTCTCACAGGTTCTCCGGAGTCAGAAGGGACCCAGCTGTGCGGAATTTGGTTTTCGTGCTTTGGCTCCTGACAAATGCAGGCCCCTGGGGCACGGCCTCTACTTTGACCATACTCACTGCTCATCCCTCCTTTCTGAGCTTCCTTTTGCCCAGTGGGATGTGGTGGAAGATTATCTTCTTAAACCGAGTCCCTTTGGCAGGAGAGCAAGAGATGAATGTTCTCTGTTGCGACGTTGTCTTTGCAACTCGCGTCTCTCTCTCTGCTAAAACAAAGCAAACAAAAAACCTTGGGGGCTCTCACCCAACCCTTGCACCAACACCAAAGGTTTTCAGGCAAAAGCAAGCAGCCAAGCAGACCTATGGCTTCCCATGCTCATTACCAGACAGGTGACTGGCTTGCACCTGAAATTCATCGGCATGACTGACCAGGGCAAGAAACTGGCAGAGAGACACCCTGCTGACTCAAACTGAGGTGACAGGCCACATAGAAGTAGGACGCTGTAAGAATTAAGCTTTTTTAAAAATTCATTGAGAGGTGAAGATTCTCCCGCTAAGTTTACTTTGTTTGATTGTTTTACTTCATTTATTTATTTTAGGGATTTACAATCCTATATTAGATGGTGCAGAACAACAATGAGATGTAAAGAAATACATATGATAGCTATATAAGCTGTTTTCATTTTTGATGTTGTCATGTGTTGACTGTCATCTGATGGTTTCATAGGTCCTGGCTACTGTATGGGAATTGGACCCCTCATTTCCCATGGCAGATTCCTGTGGATGGGGATTGGCAGTGCCTGCAACTACTACAACAGGATGTATGGAGAATTCATGAGAGTCTGGATCTGTGGGGAGGAGACGCTCATCATTAGCAAGTGAGTCTGCTCAGAATCTGAGCCCAGATTGAGGCTGGACTTTTTATTAAAATAAACACACAATAGCAACCACAATGTAGGCTGATATCTTGATGTAGTTTCTAAGGTTATATATTTATTTATATACATGTACATATATAAAATCCATATATACTACATATATATACATATATGTATCATTCTAACCAATGAAATGAAGGTGAGCAATTCCCAAGGGAAAAATTTAACGCTGTGGACAAAGGGAATACATCAGGCTTTGCTTAACGCCAGAGGCAAATAGCTAAAGAATGCTGAAAAGCTGGGGACATGTGCCAAGCCTCTCTGAGACGTGCATGTGGAGACTCGGGGGTCCCGAACGGGAGGCCCGGTGGCGCAGTGCATTAAGTGTTGGGCTGCTGACTTCAAGGCCCCCGGTTCACATGGATGGGATGAGGCTGGCTGTTCTGGAGGGATGTGCAGTCTTGGGAACCCGATGGAACGTTCTACTCTGCCCAAAAGGGCTGCTGCGAGTCAGAAGCAACCCAATGGCAGTAGCTTTGTTTGTTTGAGTAAAGAATACTTGGTTTTTAAGGAGGGAGGCATCGTCTTTTCTGTTTTCCCAATAGTTGGGTCTTATCTCTACACATAAGCATTAAAAAAGAAAGTTGAGATGGAGAAATCTGACTAAATCAAATTGCTAACATGTTTGTAATGCCAAATTGCCCGCACCTTTGGACAGGCAGGCAGTAAGGGGAAAAATACCAAAACAAACTTCCACGAACAAGGGTCCTAATTCATGATGCGTGTCCATGTACCCACTAAGGGATCTTCAAGAATTCAGGAACAAAATTGCCTGTTTAAAAAGAAAAAAAGTCCCCCTGTGCGTTGTTCGTATGTCCTGGATAACTCAGCAGCTTGAATTCACTCTCCAGCTCAGACCAAACTCACTGCCGTCTAAGTGACCGTCTGGGCAGAGTGGAACTGCCCCTGTGGGTTTCCAAGACTGACACCTCTTCCCAAGAGCAGAAAGCCTCCTCTTTCTCCCTCAAGTGAAGCTGGTGGTTTTGAACTGCTGACCTTGCAGTTAAAGGCTCAACTGGTAACCCACTACGCCGCCTAGGCTCCTGAAATTCACTCTAAGGCTAACCATGTATACATCTATCCAACCCTGAAGAACGACCTTTGTGGGGGGAAAAACCTCCTTTTCTTATTTATTGATCACAGAAAAAGGAGTCATTTAAAGAGAGGCTACGTCACACAACCTCCCAGTGCGACGACGTTTAGCCAAGCTGCCTGCCAACACTCTCCCATTAGGAAAAGTTTGGCATTTCTCCCCCTGATGGAGCTTGGCCCACAAGCTCAGACAGACCAGGGCGGTTGATGGACGTGTGAGGACTATTCATTCAGACACACAGGCTGTGGCTCAGATGCGAGTGAAACACTTCTGTCATGGCATTCATTTCTTCAGACCCCCATCCTGTCAGACATTACTGATGTCCCCAGAGCCCAACTCTTTGAACAAAAGGCAAAGGAGGGGGGTTTCGGAAAGTTTGGCGGGGTGGGGAGAAGGCTATTTAAAAAGAATAGAATTTCTCCACAAACTTTTTTAAGCCCCCTTATCTCTGAAAGGAGAGGCCAGGAAGGTGGGGTGGGGGGCAGGGGCAGGATGTTATATAGATTTCCACCTCTATGGAAAAGGGGGACGTTCCCATGGAACCTACCAGGTGGGCCGAAACGATGTAGCACAAAGAAGCCATTGGCGGTCACTGGACATGTGGGAGCATTTCTTGAGCTCTGCCCACCCGCTGCCGGATCTACCGGGTCATACTCAGGTCCAGTGTCCACTGGCATGGTCCACCAGGCCAGCTGTTTGATGGGGACTCTGAACGTCGCTCCCAGGAAGGAGCGGAGCCAGGCCACGGCCGCGCTCTGCAGCACACGCCAGGGCACACCAGCGCGGCCTGCTTCCCTCCCGTGGTCGGACACCCGGGCAAGCAAAATGGTGAGGCGCAAAACTGCGATCGTGGGCTGGGGCTGTCAGATGCCTGCAGCTCCCAGACATTTCAAACTGCTCCAGTCTTCTTTGGGAACTGCCACGTGCCTCCAAGGCGGCCTGTTGGTCCGTTTCCCCAGCTAGGTGGCCAGGCGCCACTGCCGAGAGTCGGCGCTAAGGCGGATCTCGTGAATAAAACCGAACGTGACCACAGCGCCAGGTGGAAATGACATTTCATTAGGTTTCACGGGGAAACCCAAATGCAGCGCTCCTCCAACCGTGGCCCCTGACCCCGAAGGTCGGATGAAGTGGGTCACAGCCCCGGGGGAGAGCTGGTACTTGTCCTTTCTGACACGCACCCCCAAGTATTGAGAGCCACTGCAGGGATCCCTAAGCCTGAAGGCCTCCTCGGTCTTAGGTTTTCTGGTCTGTTGAGCTCCGGCTGGCCAAATGTAAGTGAACTTGATACGATCCGGATGCGCTCTCATTAACAAAGTCAATGACTACTTCAGTCACCTTTGCCAGCGGCTATGGTCTCAAAAGGCCCTGGCACGATGGCGTTTGGGCTGGGCAGACCCATCCCTAGCACAGCAGCGGGGCTGATAGTTGGCCTCGTTTGCCTTCCCTGACACCTCTTACCCTCAGCACATCTGTGAGAAGCTGACCCTCAGGATAGTCCTCAAAAGGACACCTACCTGCTGCTCAGGGCCCAGCACAGATTCTCACCTGGCTGCATGTGGCAGTCAGTCACCCAGGGCCTTTTAAAGAAGCTCAAGACCCAGGCTGTGCCCCCAGGGCAACTAGCTCAGGATCTCTGGCTGGTGGAACCCCACTGAGCTGTGGGCATGAGAGCCTCTGGTCTAGGGCGGAGAACAGGAGCGAGGGCCCCGGGGGCAGGCCGTCTCTCCCTGATGTGATGGCTGAGGTTGTGTGTCCACTCGGCGGGGGCATGGTCCTCAGTGGTTGGAGGGTTATGATGTCCTTTGGCAGTTCTTGATGATGTCGTCCAACCCCATGATGAGACCAATAAATAGCGATCAGCTCCAGGAGCAGCCGATCCGTTGGCTCCGGGCTGTGGCCTGCAACCGATATATACGGACCTTCTAGTATAGCTTCCCGGCTTCCTGCTTGATCTGGATCCTGCATCTGGCTCCCTCTTTCCTGACCTCGGTTTTCGAGCCTGCCAATCTTGGATGTGACGACCCCTGTAGCTACGTGAGTCCAGAGAAGCCTGCAGCTTGATTTCTGACTCATAGATTTGGAACTTGCCAGCCTCTACAACCACATGAGCCAGTTCCTTGAGATAAGTCTCTGTCTCTCTGTCTCTCTCTCTACACAAACACACACACACACACACACACACACACGAGCCCTGGTGGCACAGTGGGTTTAGCGTTGGGCTGCTGACCCGAAGGCTGACATTTCAAACCCATCAGATGCTCTATGGGAGCAAGGGGAGGCAGGCTTCTTCTATAAAGGTTTATAGCCTCAGATACCCTGGGGAGCAGTCCTATTCTGTCCGATGGGTTTCCTATGAGTCAGAATTGATTAGATGACAGTGGATATGTTTGTTTTGGTGTATGTCTGGTATATCTATATATGGTATGCATGCATATATCACACACATATGTATCACATAGCATCATTGGACTACATGTATACATATATCAACACACCAACCATATGCTAACTTATTTATTATTTATTTAAATATGTGTATCCTTGTGATGCTGTGAGCAAGGCATTAGGGTCTGTATTAGTCTGGGTACTTTGGAGAAACAAATCCACGGCGACTCAGGTATAAGAGAGAGTTTTATACAAACAAAATGTGCATCACGAAAACATCCCAACCCAATGCTGCCCAAGCCCACAAGTCCAACATTAACCCATACCCAACACCAGTCCACAAAGTCCTTCGCCTCACAAAACAGAGGCAATAATGCCGACTGCAGGAGGAAAGCTGAGTCAGTAAATAAATAAGCATCTCAGCACTAGCAGGGGTCTCCACACGGCTGCTCCAGCACCCAGGGCTGCATCGGGATAGGTCCATGCGGCTTCTCCTTGGGGATGTCTTGTAGGAAATCCATCTTGCAAGCTGAAGCAGGGAACTGCTAAGGCAGCTGCATCCTGGTGTGACCATTACAAAGCAAGAGACCCGAGAACTAGAAAGGCGAGGCTTCACCACCCATTTATCCCTCCACCTTTCAACCAGCACCACATGTGATTATCGGCCAGGCTGGCACAATTAACTAACTCAGGGTCCTAACCAAAAGCTAGTGGTTCAAATCCACCAGTCAGTTGTTGGGAGAAGATGAGTCTGTGTGTCTGTAAAGATTTGCAGAAAGTCTCAGAAAGCCTGTATAGGGTCACTATGCGTTAGAATCAACTCGATAACAGTGGGTTTTTGTTATATCATATATATATATACACACCATATGTTTGTTTTTTATATATATCATATAGTTGATATATCAATAGATAGATATGGATGTCCTGGTGATGCCATATATTATATGTGATATAGTATATCCATATATGGCATATCTATCTCCATATATATCTGTATCTTAAATCTTACAGTCTCTTGAGCTCTGTAGCTGTAATTATATCTATATATGGTATCTATGTATCTCACTACTTTTGCTGCTCTAGAGGCCCCAGACTAAGACCCCTGGGTTTAGGGGAAGCAGCTAAGCACGATGGGAAGTTTGCCTTAGTAGCTTACTCTTGAGACCAGATGAGGTGGCCCCATACCTCTGGCCAGGTGCCCTGGCGGAGCAGTGAGGTCAGCGGTTAGAAGCAAGCAGCTGCTCCGGGGGCGGGCGAAAGTCTCAGAAAGCCACAGGGGCAGATCTCCTCCATCCTGAAAGGGTGCTTTGAGTCAGAATGGGGTTGAAGGCAGTGAATGAGTTCCTGTTGACTTGATTCTGACTCATCATAACAGAGTAGAACTGCCCCGTGGTGGGTCGTTCTGTTGTGCCTGGGGCTGCCAGACGCCAGAACCCACTGGACAATCCCCCAAACAACC